GTGCGTGTGCGTGTGCGTGTGCGTGTGCGTGTGCGTGTGCGTGTGCGTGTGCGTGTGCGTGTGCGTGTGCGTGTGCGTGTGCGTGTGCGTGTGCGTGTGCGTGTGCGTGTGCGTGTGCGTGTGCGTGTGCGTGTGCGTGTGCGTGTGCGTGTGCGTGTGCGTGTGCGTGTGCGTGTGCGTGTGCGTGTGCGTGTGCGTGTGCGTGTGCGTGTGCGTGTGCGTGTGCGTGTGCGTGTGCGTGTGCGTGTGCGTGTGCGTGTGCGTGTGCGTGTGCGTGTGCGTGTGCGTGTGCGTGTGCGTGTGCGTGTGCGTGTGCGTGTGCGTGTGCGTGTGCGTGTGCGTGTGCGTGTGCGTGTGCGTGTGCGTGTGCGTGTGCGTGTGCGTGTGCGTGTGCGTGTGCGTGTGCGTGTGCGTGTGCGTGTGCGTGTGCGTGTGCGTGTGCGTGTGCGTGTGCGTGTGCGTGTGCGTGTGCGTGTGCGTGTGCGTGTGCGTGTGCGTGTGCGTGTGCGTGTGCGTGTGCGTGTGCGTGTGCGTGTGCGTGTGCGTGTGCGTGTGCGTGTGCGTGTGCGTGTGCGTGTGCGTGTGCGTGTGCGTGTGCGTGTGCGTGTGCGTGTGCGTGTGCGTGTGCGTGTGCGTGTGCGTGTGCGTGTGCGTGTGCGTGTGCGTGTGCGTGTGCGTGTGCGTGTGCGTGTGCGTGTGCGTGTGCGTGTGCGTGTGCGTGTGCGTGTGCGTGTGCGTGTGCGTGTGCGTGTGCGTGTGCGTGTGCGTGTGCGTGTGCGTGTGCGTGTGCGTGTGCGTGTGCGTGTGCGTGTGCGTGTGCGTGTGCGTGTGCGTGTGCGTGTGCGTGTGCGTGTGCGTGTGCGTGTGCGTGTGCGTGTGCGTGTGCGTGTGCGTGTGCGTGTGCGTGTGCGTGTGCGTGTGCGTGTGCGTGTGCGTGTGCGTGTGCGTGTGCGTGTGCGTGTGCGTGTGCGTGTGCGTGTGCGTGTGCGTGTGCGTGTGCGTGTGCGTGTGCGTGTGCGTGTGCGTGTGCGTGTGCGTGTGCGTGTGCGTGTGCGTGTGCGTGTGCGTGTGCGTGTGCGTGTGCGTGTGCGTGTGCGTGTGCGTGTGCGTGTGCGTGTGCGTGTGCGTGTGCGTGTGCGTGTGCGTGTGCGTGTGCGTGTGCGTGTGCGTGTGCGTGCGCGTGCGCGTGTGCGTGCACGCGTGCGCGTGCGCGTGCGCGTGCGCGTGCGCGTGCGAGTGCGCGTGCGCGTGCGCGTGCGCGTGCGCGTGCGCGTGCGCGTGCGCGTGCGCGTGCGCGTGCGCGTGCGCGTGCGTGTGTGCGTGTGTGCGTGTGTGCGTGTGTGCGTGTGTGCGTGTGTGCGTGTGTGCGTGTGTGCGTGTGTGCGTGTGTGCGTGTGTGCGTGTGTGCGTGTGTGCGTGTGTGCGTGTGTGCGTGTGTGCGTGTGTGCGTGTGTGCGTGTGTGCGTGTGTGCGTGTGTGCGTGTGTGCGTGTGTGCGTGTGTGCGTGTGTGCGTGTGTGCGTGTGTGCGTGTGTGCGTGTGTGCGTGTGTGCGTGTGTGCGTGTGTGCGTGTGTGCGTGTGTGCGTGTGTGCGTGTGTGCGTGTGTGCGTGTGTGCGTGTGTGCGTGTGTGCGTGTGTGCGTGTGTGCGTGTGTGCGTGTGTGCGTGTGTGCGTGTGTGCGTGTGTGCGTGTGTGCGTGTGTGCGTGTGTGCGTGTGTGCGTGTGTGCGTGTGTGCGTGTGTGCGTGTGTGCGTGTGTGCGTGTGTGCGTGTGTGCGTGTGTGCGTGTGTGCGTGTGTGTGTGTGTGTGTGTGTGTGTGTACGTATGTATGTAAATAAAATGTTGTCGTGCGATATCTTTAGAACGAAACAATCGTTCGAGATGGGTGACGCGGCGCGGAGTTCGTAAATATTCATTGAGACTTCGAGCTGATTAGATTTTCAAGTCAATCGACCGAGCCGTTTCAAAGATTTTCAAAAAATAAAAACCAAAAAAATGTTTTTGAGTTTTTTCTAAATAACTTTCAAAATATTTGATTAATCCACTCCAACTCAACTCCAGTCGCCAGAAACACTTTTTAAACTTAAAAAAACTGCGCGTATGCCGCCTAGCAAGTCAAAATCGAACGACGCGTTTTAAAATTATTGCCATTTTAAATATTCTAAATAATCGTTCGGTTAAAGATGTAGAGGAAGTTCCAGGAACGACCTACAGGGTTAACCGTTTTTCAGATTTTTATTATAATATCCCAAAAGCAAACCAAGAAATTATAGAGCTACGCTGCAGCTATATATGATTGTAATACGAATAAGTCGTTTCGACCGAGGTAGGACCACGCTCTCATAGAATACCAGCGTAAAATTGCAACTAAATGCTGTTGTCTTTCGTATGTTGAGTGTAGAGAACCGGATACACTTTTTACTGTTAACGAGGCATTCCATCTTAGTCCTCAGGGTTGACAACGCATCTGCACCTATATTCTTAATTGAGGATAAATATTGATGTCCATGTCCTGTTGTCTGTATGCTGGTTTGTTGTGTAAAAAAAACTCACTCTGTGGGAATATGGAGGAAAGAGACACATACTTTTGTTAATACCTATTTGATACACTTACATCACTCTACCTCGATATCGAGTTACTCAATTGTCGATAACCCATGGTATATAATATAAAAAGAGGAATCAACATGCAATTACCATCATCAACCCGTAAAAGTTAACTTCTAAAGTAAGCAGCAATTTGATCAAGTTGTTATCGACAAGCCAACTTAATTATAAGAAAATAAGACAGATAATTAAATTTAAAACTTTCATGATTTAAGTGTAACAAGTTTCACTCCTAAGTTGTAATCGTACAATAAAAGGAATTAACTACTTACATAATAAGTACATTGACGGCTATGTGGTGCAGGGGAGTATTGAGTTGCGGCGCAAAGGCGCGCGGGTTCAAATACCGCACGTTAAAAGTATTTACGGCCTACAAATAATTGTTCCGTGTCTCTATATTCGTCCTTGTGCAATTTATGTATATAAACTATCTTCACCATTTATAAGAAAACCTTTTCTTTAAATATTATTTAATTGTGATTTAATCAGTGTTGTATCTGTTCCAGGTGTAACATTTTTAAAGCGGCGTCAACATCATGGATGTACAATTTCAATCTAATGGCGAATTATACAGCGGCGTTTTTAAATAAAACAAAAAAGGTTCCCTTGGAACTAGCAAGAAAAAAGTATGCAAGACCAACTGTGGAAATGATCAAGAAAGCTCAACCGGATTCGATTACATTCCTAATAGTGAGACATCCTTTGGAAAGGTTAGCCTCGGCGTATAATGACAAAATTGTGCACGCGTGGCCAGAGTCGTTTCACGATAAAATGGGTCACAGGATTATAAGAAAATATCGAAAGGTAACAAATTTCCATAATACCGTAAATACTTTATTTTAAAAATATTTTGGTATAACTTATTATTTATCCATATGTATATTTTTAATAACTATTAAAATATTGCATGCCGTAAGCGCAATGCGCGTAGTTGTGTTCTACTATCGCCTAAAAATCAAGATTCCAACGTTTTGTCGCATGAAATCGTATCTAGCAATCATATTATACATATAAAATGATATAAAAAGCACATTGTCAAAAAGATAAATGATTGTTGAACTTATTATTTTTAATATTTATTTAAAAAAAGACATGTGAAGTCTGCCAACACTAATTTGGGCAGCATTGTAGACATTTTCTGGCCCTAAAACTCTGTGTTCTGTGGCCAGCAGTGAGACGTTATAGTATACAATTTTAACTTTATAGGTAATATTATTTATATTACCCAAAACATCGTGTGATAAGAAACGAGACCTGTTTATTTTTTATTTATTTAAACTTTTGTACAACAAAGAAAAATCGTACATATGGCGGACGTAATGCCTTAACGCATTCTCTCCCAGTCAACCATTAGGCTGTTTACTGTTTACTGAGCTTGTAAATTGTTGTGCCTCCAAACCTGGTTCAATTTTTTCATTCGAAGTACTAAAGTTACTAAACCTCCATTAGTAAAATTAGCAAACACCTGTGGGGCAATCAATATAGGCAAATCCTTGATTGGCCTATATTCAGGCGTGGACTTTTGACAGGCTGTTAATAAAAAAATGTGATGAAAAAAAATGTGAAATAAATCTATAAAGTACGTATTGTACGTAGATTATGCCTAGACGAGAGGAGCTTGTTTACTTGCCGCTATTCACATGATTTGTGATGCATTGGGTACACGTGGGCGATTTCGCAAATACTAGCGCTGCATAGTCGTTGAGTGATGTGACCTCCCCCGCCTTTCTCTAACGTAAGCAAAACTTTGACACAGTGGAATTTGAGGAAGCCGGTTATAAACCAAACACAAATGATAAATTATACAATCATAACTGATAAAAACATACGAAAAATGTTAAAGTTTTGTTTGTTCGTCGTAATATTTCTAAAAGAAGGGCCTTAATAAAGAGCGTCCTGGAAAGCTAGCGGCGTAGTGTTTGGGAACTATTCCAGAAAACAGGCACTAAATTACTTACTGTAATTCATTTATGCAAGAGCAAACTGAAAACTGATGTTGTATTTATTTCAGTATTCGAAGGACAAAGCGGCACCTACTGAGCGGTACCCAGTATTTGAGGAATTCGTCGCGTACGTGTTGGATGAAGCGAAGGCCAAGCGCACTCTCGACATGCACTGGACTCCTTACACCAACTTTTGTACCCCCTGCAAGTTCAACTTCGATGTGATACTAAAATTCGAAACTCTAGACGTAAGTTTTCCTTTGACAAATTACAAAGACAACAAGAACTTCTAGATAGTTGACAGTTGTATCAACTGAGAAGCACATAATATGAAAATGTTATGTTTATTATTTGCAATGCACAATTTAACTTAGTATTGTTGCACCATTTAATCTACAATCTCCTTCTAACATCAAATATCACCGAAAGTTATTGTTACCAGAGCATATTGTCGGTATTAAGAACTCTACACTGTCAAAATTGTTGTGAAGTTTGAGTTTAAGCTCGGGATTGCCTCTGAATACCAGCCTGGTCAAAGGACGACCTCGGTGCATTTTTTTTAATAAATTGACAAATGTTGCTCCTATACCAGGATCATGTTCTTTTTATCGATGAGGAATTTTACAAACAGAAATTGTACAAACATCCTAAACCAGAACTCATAGCACACATTGAAATAAATATATATCATAATATCTGATATTGCTTTTGCAATTGCGTCAAACACACGGAGATCATATCATAACAACTCCTTCACGACTTGAAAAATAACATTTTTTTTAAAGTTAGTAAAAATTATCTCGCGTACATCCGCTCGATAAAATAAAACGATGTGCCTTACCTAGTTTGAAGAGCACCTCCCGCCCCCCCTCAATTGCGTGTACTATCCCCGTCACTACTAATCCCAGCACCACTACCCCCAAGACCACTACTCCCAAGAAGACTACACTAGGAAAGACACACCACTGACGACAATACGACACGTGTTTCGTCTCTACACGAGGCATCTTTAATTGATATCGACTCTGCGGTGGCTTTAATATAATGGATTTCCGTAAAGTAACGCCCGATTCTTTATGCAGATTTTGGCATTTGGCAAGTCCTATTGTACCAAGATACCGCGCGACACAGTAGCCTAGTAATCTGACGAATAGCCAATTATACAGTTCACTTGTACTAACCTCCCTGTAACCGATGCAACCATGTAACATTTATGCAAATAGTGATCTATTTGGGTTACATGCTGATTTAAATCACATATTTTTGATCTCGGTTCCAGCATCGGCCCGCGGCTTGGTAGTATGATTTTCTTCTTTTAGCCACGGAATGATATTTCACATTCACCATCAGACTCAAAATCCAAGGATTTTCGCTTTTGTGCACATTTAGCCTCCGGCAATTAATAAAACTCGGGAGTTGACTCGGAAGGTATTCGCAATAAAAAATACGTCTCACTTTGAACAAAAAAATCCCGCTTTGGTCGAAAATTAATATGGCAACGCTGACTGTTGACAGCAGTACAATGTTGTCTTACAACTACTGTATCTACGGCGAACGTACCGCTTCTTATCTAGTCCCTTGAATAACAAATGTTACTTCCTTACATAAAATCGATTATTGAGCGATCTGTAAATTATGTCTTGAATATAATATTTAAGACATAATTTATATTAATATACAAACTTAGTAGGTACAAACAATTATCCTCTGTTACTGTGTATTACAGTTTTAGCAACCAAGGTAAACTTTACCACCACCCTATCGTATGAAAACTTTTTCCCATACGAAATTAACCTTAAGCTAGTTTAAACTCTTGTCATGCTCTGCCCATCATTAATTATTACGATATTTGTAACCCAGACTACAATCAAAACAACAGGAAACTCTACTTTAAAAGTCAATTATACAAAACCTCAGAAATATCACAAGGTCCTCGATCGCACACAATCGTGATAACCAAGTAATGCTACTGATTATCCGCCTGCGTATCTTACCATGATACATAATAATATCAAGAATAGTTATTCTACGGAACAACTGAGTAACTAGCATTTTCTATTAATTGCTACTCGTATTTAGTTTCTGATTCTGATGGCAACTCAGTATGAACGGTTCGACATGTTTGTACTCGTAATAATTACTTCTCAGAATTAACTATTCCATTGAATGTTACGACATTCATTAATAATTGCAAGCCCGTAGTTTTACCAAGCAACTTATAATATATAATTATGTAATCATGGAAAGCCTAGTTATTTCTCATAACTATAATGAAGGCTAACACTTGTCAGTTACACGAAGGTTTTGATAGATGTTATGTTTTCGAAGTAATATTTTAAGAATTTGAAGTAAAAGCAACAGCATACAAGCGTTCCATTACTGGGTACAGGTTTGCTACCATTTCTGAAAAGTATGTCCACCGCGCGGCCTCTGGCCTCAATGCGTGTTGGCGAAATTTCTCAAATGTAGGTAGGTCTCATGAAGGTTTTCTTGCAATGTTATCGTTCACAGCCAAAAACGTGGTAATCAACACTGAAAGATGCAATTAATAATTTTAATTGTTGTATTGTGTTGTCACACAATTAGCAAGGCTTTTCCTTTTCCGTAGGCGGAGTAATGAGTTTCGTTCCGAATGACTATTATCTAGTACTTTTTGTGCCACCAGGGCGGTGCCACTTAAAAATGAGGTGTAATATTTGACAGCATAGATTAATGCTCAGTCATCGCGATGACTTATCATTAATCTATGATTTGACAAATTTCATAGCGAGGAAGTTAATTTGTTTGGAAAATATAATGTTAATGTTTCTTTCTAAACTGTACTGTAGTTATATTTTATATTAATTTAATTAAAATAAATAAACCAAACCACGAAAGTAGTTCATAAAAGTTAAAATGTTCAAAAAGTTAAAGAGCAAACCACTGAGGCATTTTTTTGTGTATTATACTGTAATACTCTAGAAACTGATAAGCTTTTATTAAAAACTAACTCCGCAATTAAATGATATTGTGTAACAAAAAATTCACTTCAGTGTCAATTAGCGGCATCTAGTGAGCGAAAGACTATTAACGTTCATTCACTTGACATAGACATTATAAATAACACAACTCATAGCGCCATCTATCGGATCCAGATTTGTAATTTCCTTTTTTGGCACCCACAAAATCGACAAAAAAAAAGAAAATAGGGCGATTGTTTAATTTGTATCTCATTTGTAGCACATTAATTATTATTTACTAACACAAGGAAATTTGTTTTTAGTTTCTTTTATTGTAAATAATATTGTATTCTATGATGTATTACTACAGTAATTTTTATTACCAAAAATATCAATAAAAATATACCAAAACCAGTAAAATAGGTATAATATGGTATCTTGTAAATGAAACAAGAAAAAAATTTTGCATCGGCCGGGAATCGAACCCGGGCCGCCCGCGTAGCAGGCGAGCATTCTACCACTGAACCACCGATGCTTGTCGTATAGTGTTGAAATTATGATTAGTATACAATTATTCAGCAAATTTTAGAGTAGTGGTAGTACATACGGTGAAACCTGGTTAAGCGAACCCTGAATATGTTAGAAACCTCTGTTATTGCTATTTACAATGAGGTTCCAACATTTTGAAACACTTTGACAGGCATTGAATTAGGCACCTCTGTTACAGGGAATTTTCAAAGCTTGTTAACTGAGATTACATTTCGTAGAATTTTTAGATGTTTACCCCTATAATTGAGACTTCGTAGTTCAATAACCCGTATGCGTGAGACAATTTATCAGGTTTAGAAAAGTTACCTATGACACGCTTGTTTACAATTTACTCATTTCTTCCATAGTTGCTTTGTTTATCAGTAGGTACGTACTATCTCTTTATACGATAAATGGTACATTTCGAACTCTTATAGTGGGACCCTCCATAAATAACACAGCTGTCATGAACTGACAAAACTGACAAAATCCGCTATAAGTGATAAGAAATTCTATGTCCCTTGAGATCCCAGGTAACCAGGTTTCATTGTATATTAATTTAGCATTAAAATGTGTAAATCGCATAAATTTAAATCATGGACCTATGTTATCAATAATCACAATTGCACAAGACGAACTCAATCTCTATTAAGCAAATCTGGTTATATCGATTTTTCCATTCTTCCCTAGACGATCTAAAACTGGAATTGGAAATGATAATAATCATCATTATCATCATCATTATCAGCCTGCGACAGTTCAGAAGTAATAATTAATATAAATTATTTTAGAGACTCTTTTGGGATAAGCGTTGATTCTTATTTTATAGTTCCTGAAAATAATGAGTTTAATTTTCGGCGGCACCCGGCACATTTGAAAATTTCAAAATTTTGCTACAGATTGAAATTATTAATTTCGGTATTGTATCTATATCCTATTGTATACGTATGTATACTGCTTACGTGCCCGCCGATGAAGAAAGCGTAGTAAAGGAACCTGCCCTGAATGTCCGAGAATTTCTTCGATTAACAATGATCGAAGGAGAATTTCAATAAAAATTCGAGAACCTGTCATTGAATAACAAACATAAAATCATTAAAATCAATCAAGGCGGTTCGAGAGTGGCAGTTCAGTAAATCTTCCCAATCCACCCTTTGAACAGTTATAATATGTACTGCAATTGTCACTAGCTAATAACACTTATTTTATATATTCAGGAAGATCAACGATTCCTGATTCAAATGGCGAGACTTCAGGATGTCGTCAAGCCGGAGTGGCGCAACAGTGGAAAAGGCACGAATACTCTTCATATCATTAACCACCTTTATTCAAGGCTAAAGAAATCGCAACTCGATGGACTTTATAAATTGTACAGGTAAAATATTTTTGTACCATATTAAAGTGCTGTTGGTCTATATTACATATTACATTTAGTTTACTGAACAGTGAAAAATAATTTTTCTATTTGATAAGACTAAATCGTTATAAATCCTAAATGGTCATTCAAAATGAAAAGTGATTAAAGAAACACAAAGATGATTTTCTATTCAATAATACTCCACTTGACTAGTTGGTCGACTTTCATTTTTTCTTTCTCACAATATGGCGTCTGGTTATCGCCATATTAAATGTGAATTACTATACTATATTTCAATTCAAACCAAGCTATTACAGCATGAAGTGATTGGTTCAACAAAACGACAATTTTATAAAAATGTAAACAAAGACCTACCTAATATAATAAATGACTATTTTCTATAAATATACATTTACATAATATGTATTCTTATATCTGCATAAATACCGTGTACTGGCGCATTATGAGGATCCAGTATCCCATACCATCCCATGGTTGTCGTTAGAAGCGGCAGATGGAAATGAAACGGAGGGTCATAGAGACCCTATATAATTACAGGGTATTTAAAAAAATAAAGGCTGTTAGGCATTCAATCTTGTTTGTTTGGAGTTGGTTGCAGGTGTCAATGGGCTGTATAGCTACTTACCATCAGATGTTTTGTTAGTCATTTCAATTTTATAAAGAAATCCCTATTAGGCAATTTATGGGGTATGAGGTAGGCCTATATTTAGCAATGAACTAAATGTACCTCATATATTTTGTTAGGATGTACTTAATGATTGAATGAAAAATATTTATATTTCAGATACGACCTCCAACTCTTCAATTACACAATAGACAATTATTACGATATAGTGCAAGATGACGATATGAGCAGTCATGGATGAGCTTTAAATATGTACACTGAGTATTCCATTGTAATAAATATTTCAAAACGGACGCGAAGAGCAAAGCTATAACAGGCATACTAGAAGAAGTAGCGAATAGTTCATGATTGGAAAAGACTGATCGTTAGAGCGAAAAGATTAATGACATTATTGATCCGTTCGCATGACGAGGGCAAACGGCAACTCTATGGGTCAATTTAGAATAATTGTTGACGCTAGACATGTGTATTTTGTGATGTGAAAGTTAATAATTACGTGAAAATTATTATTATTTCGGTTCTCACTTGCGTAGTTCGAACTATAAAAATGTTAGTTATTAGTTAATATTGTTAACACATATTACGCTTCATGCTCTTTAGATTATACAAGACACATTAGAGATGCGCTATATTATGTACAGGAGCATAGATGCGGTGGTATCTGTAAGTACTAAGTACCACATTTATATAATTTTATTTTTGTATAAATCGGTTATGTTCTAATTTAAAAATTGTTATTATACCTATTATTTGATGTGGAAATTTTTGATGTTTAAACCTATTTAAGTAGGTATACCATATGTTAAATTTTTGTTCTATATCATAAGAGATATATTATGTGTTATTATAATTGTTGAGCTAGTAGGAATCTTGAAACTTAGATGTAATTCAATTGTAATTGGCGAAAGATAAAATGTATATAATATGATTTTAATTTTGTACAAATACAAAATTCATTAGTGCTTCCGTAAATATATTTATCTATTACAAATTTATAAAGTATAAAATAGTAAATGTTAATAAATTAGTAATTTAATGTTTCTGTTATGTCCAAATGACAAACAGCTAGCACAGTTCTTAGGATAAGTGCTGATTGTGACAGGGCCGGATAAGCGTACATGTACCTCTAGAGAAAATATAATGTTATGGCTCTGTTTAGATGTTTATACGGTCTAGACAACCTCGACCATTAACCAAAGTATTCTTTTTCAGCGTAACCTTATTTGGAAATTTCGTTTTTTTTATAGAAGAGGGGCCAAACGAGCATGCGGCTCACCTGATGGCAAGTGACTACCGCTGCCCATTAACAACCGCAACACCAGGGGAATTGCAGGTGAATTACCGGCCTTTTGCGTATCGGTCCGGAAAATTCACCGGTATCGTGAATTTTGACGCGATGTGCCTTCGTGAAATTTGGCAACTGGATTTAATCCGAACAATTTCTCAAAGCACTCCCCGTGGTAGATTCGATAGAAAATACAAAGGGATGCAATATCCCTACGCAGCGCCAGTGAATCGAGCCGATCAGATAGAACTCGGTCGTCGACGATTAGAACTGCTTTGCGCTGGATGCGGTCAAGTGGAAGGAGCTGGGGTGCCCCGGCCCAGAGATGAGAACAGTATTCCATGTGAGGCCGAACTTGCGCTTTGTAAGGTTGCAAGCGATGTGCCGGCATGAAATACTGTCTCGTTCTGCTGAGCACGCCAAGCTTCTTAGAGGCCAATTTGGCCTTCCCTTCCAAGTGACCACGAAACTACACACTATTCGATATGTCGACGTCGAGGATACCGATGCTAGCTGAGGCAAAAAGGGGAGTGCCTTGAAACTGAGGAGATATCTACGACAAAAGGATTCTTTTTAGAGGTAAACGCGCAAACTTGTATCTTCTGGGGATTGAACCGGACTAGATTTAAATTACTGCTAGCTACAATGCGAGACTATGTTCAGCAAAGACTCGCCTTCAGACACAAGATTGTCCTGGTACTCGAACACGTTTTTAGCTGAAGCTATATTTCTGGTATAGTTGTAACACGAATGGGTCGGCTCGACCGGGTAAGGACCACGCTCTCACAGAATAATAGCGTAAAATAGCAGCTTAATGCTGCTGTGTTTCGTATGGTGAGTGTAGAGAACCGGAGACCCTTTTTACTGGAAACCGAGGCATTCCATCTTAGTCCTCACGGGTGTCAACGCATCTGCATTTTGATTCCTAATCGAGGATAAATGTAGATCTATTGGCCACATCAACCACTTACCATCAGGTGGACTGTGTGCTCGTTTATCACCTTTATCCAATAAAAAAAAGAAGGCATTACCAGTGCTGTCGTCTGCATTGCAATGAATGTTACCAGCTTGCAACATATCTTTGATATGCAGAAGAAACAACGTTGGTGATAGCACGTAACCTTGCGGAACACCAGCGTTAAAAGGCTTGTAATCAGAACATGCACCGTCTACTACGACCTTGATGCTCCGATCAGTAAGGAAACTAGTGATCCAATTGCACAATTCCTCGGGAAGGCCATAGGAAGGGAGCTTCAAAAGAAGCGTTTTGTATCAGACCCGATCGAAGCCCTTCACTTTATCCAAACTAACGGCCAATGCCTTCGCCTTCGACTCTACTGCCTCCGCCCATCTATGAGTCAAGTAGACCAGAAAATTACCAGCTGATCGACCCCGACGTAAACAACCTGAGCACCCGCGCTCAGGAGTAGAGTAGCGTGGTCGTGGATGCTCAGCGAGGGATTCCTTAGGGGTGCTGGTACCCTCCTGGAGTAGTCTTAAGTAGTTTAATTCCAGAGGTAAACCTCTACTTCACGATGGTATTCTGTAAGGTTGGCCGACTCGAACCACCTTGGTTCGAGTCGGCCAATCCGTGCGACAGCAAAAGCTGCCGCGTGGCTCTACCACTGTTAGAGAATTCGTTCGTAGTAAGTTGTCGTTGATGAATAAATGAAAAACATTTGTTTCGTTTGGCCATGATTAGAGAAGTATCTGTCAAAATAAGTTCATCCAATTAAGTCTGTGTTACAAAACATAGTGGCAGTGCAAGCTATATTTGCACAATTAGAGTCCCTTGCCATCATATTTGCTTAAATCATTAGTAGAATATAAAATTTATATTCCAAAAAAGGCGCTGTACATAGCGAAGATTTCAAAAAATAAATTTGCTTGTTATCGATTTTTAATCCTTATCTCCGTCCTTTTTAAATTAATTACAATAATTATTTCTAAATTTCGATATTTTTTTTTAGAATTTTATTAAAGATTCTATCAATGACAATAGTTTCGACATGATTTCTTTGTTTACTACGTTAAATTTTAAACAGACAAGTAGGTACACAATTTAGGTTAATATTTATAAGGTTTCTAAAACAGACGGGCTGACAATGAATAATAGGTAACACTGGAATTGAATTGTCTCTCAAATTTTGATATTGTGACGAGATGAATACTGACCGGCCTTACTTGAATAATTATCTCTTGGAATTACCTATATTATAACTTACATAAGGTTATTTATGTGTTCTTTTTGGCTACTTTTAAAAAACAGACTAAAAAGATGAGGTGCCAATTGACAGATATTAGAAAATAGAAAAATTAAAAAGAAATATGTAATTTAATTAACGAACAATAAAACTTTTAGTAAAATCGGGTCGTATGAAAAACGAAAATTAAAATATGTATATTTTTAAACTTTACATATTATGACCAAAATTACTTTATAAAATAATTTCAACAAAAACGAAAATCAGCATAACATAAACTTGACTAATAAAAGCAACACATACTTAGGACAAATTTTTATTTTCAATATTATTAATACATACGATGAAATTCCAAAAAATAAAATAAAAAAGTATTTTCTATTACTTTGACTAGTTATTAATACTCTAAGCAAAATGAAAACTTACATATATTAATATATGCCAAAGTTTTACAAATAAATTAAACGCTTTACGTTTTTGTTTTTTCTTATTAATATCTCTAATTAATGTTAATGAATCATAGATTGCATGCACATATTCGATTAGATTTCATTTGAGAAGGATATAGGTATATATTTCTTAAATGAATTCGTAGTTGACCTTTAGAAAGTTAATTTCAAATTAATATCAAACAATTTAAGCTACTTATATTATTATTATTCGATTATTTATATAATGTACTGGGGTTCAAAAATACTTATAAAATATGTAACTTAAATACTATAATAAGCATATTAAGGTAGTATAAAGTATATAATTAAAATAATATATAAAATAAAAACCAACCAGCCGAAACACCGACATACAGTCAGTCATCGCGTTTAATGTTATCGGAAAAGCCGACATAAACAATAAATTGCTAGGGTTGTCGGAACGAGAAGTAATAAAAAAATAAAAAACTGATTTTATTTTATTTCACGTTTACACAAATTAATGTGTAGGTATGTGAAAACTGATGAAATTCCTTATCTTTAAATGAGGTCGACTCACAGTTTTTGTAGTGTGAACCATTTTATTTTATCTGCGTGACAGGACAACCCTAGCGGACAGTTCTTGCTCAGCCAGCGTCTCATCCCGCACCACACCGCACAATTGCCCTGTCTAGACGCATTCGATGACCGACTGTTAATCGTAGTTAGATTGTGACGATCCGGGTGGTATCGACGAGCACCGTCTTCTGAACTCGAGGCCGGAGCGGTCCGTCACGGAGACCTAAATGCCTATGATTACCCGAAACGCTGATCTAGTACATCGTTACTAGTAAAAAGGGTCTCAGATTCTCTACACTTACCATACGAAACACATCAGCATTAAGCTGCTATATTACGCTGATATTCTGTGAGAGCGTAGTCTTTACCCGGTCAACCAGCCAACGCGTAGTCAACCTATTCGTACTACAACCTTAATATAGCTGTAGTGTGGTTCTATCACGTAAAAACTTCGGTTGGCATACCGCCACACATGTCAGTCACCTCGTAATGCCAGTTCCAGTTATTATATAACTAATTAATTTAACACATGAAATTGACACACTATTATCACCTAATACTTGTTTTTATTTTTGTACGTGGTTACTGTTAAGAGGACATATTAAGTTGCAGAATGGTTTCATATTAAACTAGTCATAGCTTTAACTCTGTTTTATTGTAAACTAGACAAATAGCATACTGTATGCTTTCAGTAATGGAATTATTTGCAACTAAAATTGTTTTAGATTCATGGTTTCGGTGTCAGTTAAAATCTACGTAGTATTCTGTCTACCTTTCTGTGTTGGTCTGAGGCTCATCATCAACATCGTTACGGCTGAACAAAGGCCTCCCCAAGGCCACGATCTTGAGCCACCTATATCCATCGACATGCAGGAAATGTCTCATTAGGTTGTTGCTACATCTTAAACTTCGCTTACCAAAATCCAAAATTCAACGTCTCTCAGCAAGCTATGGAAAGGACTTTTCTTGGAGTTTATCTGCGTGATAGACTTTGTAATGAGGATATCTATCGTAAAACCAGTAAGCTGAAATGTCCATATAGCTCAAAGAACCGGAGACAGATTAGGAAGATAGGATCTCGAATGACAGTTTCGTACCCGGCTCTCTACGGCTGTAACGCGTTAATTAAACACCGTAATGTTTAATATTGTAATATTCTTAAAAAGTAATGACCTTTCGTACAAATGATATTTTTAATATCACATAATATGAACATTGATTTAAAAAAAATCTAATATTTATCGTGGTAAAATAAGTATATTTGTAATATTGAAATACATAAAATTCGTAATTTTTATAATTAAACATAACGAAAACGGAACGTGTTGCCTTTGCCTTCGCCCGGTAAATTTCAATAACTTTGATTAGGTATATAATGTATTTAATTTTCTGCAAAGAGAATATAATCACTATATTTACTTCTTTGAACAGAAAACAATTTTTGGCTTGTTAAAAATATTAGTAGGGGAGAGTGGGGTAAGACGGGGTCCTTAAGGTTTGATGTTAAATAAAATTGACCGTAAAGAGTTTTATTAATTTGTTTTATTCTTATAATCTTCTTAGATAATCAGTCTTCATTGTTAACGAGTATTTGGCAGTCTTATCAACATAATAAAATTAAAAAAAAATCAAAAAGTAGAAATACACCATTCACCCCATCATGCCCCACCCCTAGGGTAAGATGGGGTACCCCGTGGGTAAGATGGGGTACGCAGCAAACGACTATTTAGGACTGTTCACAATGTTCACAAGTGAACACGGTATCTGCATCTTCGTCGTCCACACCTGCACAGCTGCAGTGAGCCCATTTGCCGCATGCTGAACAAGCAGCCCAGCCTTCATTTGAGTCCAAATATAGGCCTTTACAATACAAACAAGGTGTATTTTCAATATCGCTGTCACTATTCTCGTTTAATGATCTATTCTTAGCCCCTTGTTTCTTCTTTGTTACTCTTTTCTTCTTAGTTGCCGGGTCTTTTTCAGATTTTTTAAGTTCCCTCAACCCTTTTTTTCTCTGTTTATCCTCTTCCGCTTGTTCCTTTTTCTTAATCGTTTCTTCTAACTCATTCTTATACGGCGAAGATGTGATCACCGCGGTTTTTCCTCGTTTTCTAGTTGAGCGAGATGTTTTTGTAGTTGCTGGAAAGGGCATTATTTGCTGCGGACTTACGACGCCAAATATTGATTGCTGCGGAGTTCGTGGTCTTTCGTGTAGATCGGAGTTATCGAGCCAGTAAGAACATCCTGGTTCAGGGGTTGACATTGTATTAGGTAGCACAGTAAGTGCAGTAACCAGATTAGATGATAGTGACGTACTCGCAGAAATACTAGCGGCAGTATCAAGTCTCGACAATGTTTCTGTTTCCACTGTTACTGGCGTCACTGCTGCATCCGTCAAAGTTGCCGCAACAGAAATGGCTTCAGATATAATTGGCGCATTCTGATTATTTGTTGCTGGTTCTGTGGATGACGATTCCATTATCAACGAACTATTATCGCTTGCAGGTGCGTCGGATACATTAAGCTGAATATCTGTCATCAAAGATGGAGCAAAGTCGGTCTCAGAGAATACTGTTGGATCATATGGCCAAATCCCACATTTCTTAAAACCATTGACAGCTGTTGACATCGTAGACGCTTGTATGAACGCCTTTCCAAAAATTTCAGCTACTTGTCGGACAGTGACAGTCATCCCTGGGTTGCTGCGAAGCCACGCCATGATTTGATGATCGTAGTAGGTACTTAACGGTCTCATGTAAGCAACGTCTGCAACCTGAAGACGGTGAGTTGTATGTGGTGGGAAACATAAAATGATAACGCCGTGAGTGCGTGCTTCATTTATGAGATCAATGTTCTTCGTATGAGTACTATGTCCATCCAATAATAACAAAACAGAATGCTCAGGTGTTGCTCCGCTAAATTTGACGAACTTTTTAAACCAATCTAGGAAAAGTTCTGAAGTCATCCAGCCCGAATCACTGCAAACTCCCCAAGCTCCGGGGGCAGCATTAATCATAAGTTGCGGATCCATTCTTTTTCTAGGATATACCATCATGGGTGGCATAAAATTACCACTAGCACTAAAACAGATTTCTACTGTAATGGTCGTACCTCGTTCAGCAGATGTTATGGCTCCCACTTGCTTTCTGCCCTTTCTTGCGATAATTTTTGATTTGGTTTTGGGCACAACTGAAATACCAGCTTCATCGCAGTTGTATATACGATCAGGTGTTAGATGATGTTCATCGTAAACATTGCCCAAAAAATTGAAAAACTGGTCTACCACCTGTTTATTGAAACCAGCAGCACGTGCGGATGAGGTACTTTCAGGCTGTCTAATAGACAGTTCTGGGTGCCTTTTTAAAAATCCTAATGCCCAGTCTTTCCCGGCTTCTTCTTTTTCATTGTTAAACGGATGACGTTTGTTATTTTTTACCGCTAGTCTATAGACTAAACCTCTTAAGTCTTTCATTGTCAGTCCATAAAGCCTACTCTCCATATCTATTATGTATTTACATAGCTCTTCCTCTTCATTATCAGTAAAAACTTTCTCTTTTGGGCCTAACGGTACCTTAAATTTAACAGTCATTGGATCATTCTTATCTAAACTTTCTCGCGCAAGCTTCACTTTTCTTTCTAAAGTTGTTTGTGGGACAAAAAATGATTTTGCTGCAAGCTTGTAGCCAATTTTTCCTTCAACCACATTTTTCACAGCATCTTTCATACTTTCTTCTGACCAATCCCCTCTTTTTTTATAATTTCTCACCATTCTAGAACAAAATACACAGTAAATTAGACATTTAAATTGTAAAGGCTAAGGGGCAAGATGGGGTTCCCGACCGACCGACCGACCCTATCTTGCCCCCGCATGCCGAATCAAATTTAAAAAAATACTTAATAAAACCAATACGCAGCACAGAGAAAAACAAGTTCTTACCTGTTAGTGTAGCTATTGTCACATTTGATACCATTTAATTCAATTCCGAGGTGTTATTATTTACGGAAATTACACGCCCGATATAGTATAGAAAAATCACTAGCTATTTGTCAAAAAAGTTTTTTCCAGAAAACAAATAAAACGCGTGGAGTCTTTGTCCGCTCACTTCGATGACTGATTGCCGTAATGGCGGCGCGACGTCAGCTGCTAAAACGATCCTGATTGGCTAATTCGTTCGCGCTCAAGATCGGTCACTCCGTCTTGCCCCGCACCCCGTCTTGCCCCACTCTCCCCTATTGCGAAATTAGTTAGAAATATCGAAAACAACGTGCAGTATATTACACTGTGTTGCCATTTAGTTTAAAAAGAAATTAATTTTACTACGAAGTGTATTATTGTTCATTAGTAAATATTATGTTATCTTTTCAGAAACACTATTTTTACATCTGTAATATTTTCAGGCTCTCTGAGTTTAATGGTATCTTTTCCTTTTAAATGCGGAATATTTGACATTTCAAATATAAGAAATTTCTCTTTAGACAGATTATAAAGTAACAATAATGTAAGTGTTAAATTGCTTCTATTTTGAATAGTAAGAAAATCTATAATAGTACGTACATATGTAGATATAATGGAAAGAATACTAGACCAAAACGAAATGGCCTATAATGGTAACTGAAATGGTGCTATAGTCCTTTAGATTATGATCTCATATCAGAAGGTGAGATATGAATGCAGTGTGCACTTGTTGCTAATTATATTGTGTTATAGATTTTAACTGTAAGTTCATCGGTTGTGTTTATGTAATGTTAAAAAAATATTCTTAGTACTTATAGAGTAATAAAAGTTCAATACTGCAAATTATTTGTTTCTTTTAATACCTCCTTTTTATTTGACAATACATATTCAGTATAAATGCTTCCGATAACATCTATTTATTAATGAAATTCTCAATGTTATCGCAAACAACCCGTACTGATCCGTATACGGATCGGCATACGACAGCAAATTAAACCGTCTTAATGATTGCAGATCTCAAATAATATTGGTAAATCCAATTGTGCATGCCTTAAGCGTATTAAAAAAATTACGTATAAAATGATTACACGTAATTTTTTAAAGTAGTATAATTACACACAAGTTTTCACTAAAAACTTAAAAAAAAAACTATTAGTTCAAATTTTCCGATCATTTTAAGCCAAATTTCAATTAAAAAAAAAGCTTGGGAAATCCAAAAATGCACGGCTCATAACGCTCATATGATCATGAAAAAAAAAATGTAAATTGTAGTTCTATTCGTCAAAGAGTTCCAGTAGCAGTTACCGAAGTACACTTTCAAGTCACTCTATCAAGACCAGAGGTAAGGTCTCATCATCAGCAAAAACAATTTATTAATAATAAGTAAATTTATTGTTCAACTTTTAATACTGGCTGGTTTAGCTAGTTTTCACAAGATGCACTGGGAACTGAGGTAGATATCCTCTCTTCTCCGCTGCTTTGGTTTTATTCCTGTAACAATATAAATCTTAAGTTCACTATTTTTAACTGACTTCAATTAAAGAAGGCTCTCAATTAGACAGTATGTTCTTTGACAATGTATGTTACGCGATATCTTCGTCAATTGTGGAAGGATTTTATTGACATTTTTTTTAATTAAATAGGATATACTTCAAGGGTGCTTCCATATAAATTTGTAGAAAAATTCATCCCTAAGGGTAGAAAAATAAGGAATGAACTTTTCAATTGAACTATTTAAACGACGTTGTAGCATAACAGCTGGCTCGTGGCTTTAATACTTTCATAAGTAGTGTAATCCCGACGAGTGTCTTAATCCCGACTTCTGAAGCTATAATATGGAAATTATTATATTCTTTTTAGGTTTTTGAAGTCGGCTTTACTTTTAATAAATAGTACAATTATATAATTAAATATACATTACAAACAAAACATTTTTATTTGAATATTTATAAATAATCTAATTAAATAATAAAAAATTGTGTGGAAGCATCAAATTGTTTGTGGTTTCTTTTCACAACACAAAAAAAAATCGTTTTACAAGTTTTAATTATTTTATAGTTTCTAAATAAGACACGTTATTAGCTATATATACAAAGTAAGTGGTAACAGTTTCATCTTTCTAGAAACTTTCTTGGAACTTTTTCGGGACCTCCAATGTATATACAAGAAAAAGTCGTAGAAATTAACAGTAAATCTTTTTTTTATAACTTTTATATAATTGAAGGCAGAAGAACAGCGGAAGATGACTCATGACTTCAATTTACGTCTTATACATAATGTATAATTAGATATAATATGTGCTTTTTATAGATAAGTTTATATTTTTACGTGCTGCAGCTATGTTAGTAGTGTAGTTATAGCTTGTACATACTATTATTTATTCTGTGGTTGTAGCACAAATGGGTCAGCTCAACCGGAGAAAGACCACGCTCTCACAGAATACCGGAGTAAAATATCAGCTAGTCTTGGGCAAAAAATATCGATATACCGATATTTTTTGCCCAAGACTAGCTGATATTTTACATTCATATTAGTCGATATTTTTAATCAAGATATATCGATATTTTTTGCCCAAGACTAGCTGATATTTTACTTTCATATTAGTCGATATTTTTAATCAAGATATATCGATATTTATATTAGAGTATCAAATTCATATCAATTTCGATATATTTTAAAATGTTGTATTAACGGGCAAATCATGAAACAACAAAAGGAGCTACAAAAGCATTCATGTGTGGTTGTCGTTTTATTTTCGTCGTCCAACCGTCAGCAAAGTTAAATTTTGAACCTTAACCTTACATTATGCAAATGATGCTGATATATCGATATTTATCACTAGATATATATCGATACTGATTAAAAATATCGATTCGATATATATCGATATACTTTTTCCCTTGCTCATCCCTAACAGCAACTTAACGCTAGCGCTGCTGTGTTTCGTATAGTAAGTGTAGACAAATAAAACCTAATGCCTCCTCTACACTACTCGCGAAGTAGATAGAAGTTGGAGGAGGCGAATAGTGTAGAGAGGTACTTCGATTTACTTCGTCCAACCTCGCTTCGCCTCGGGCGACTTCCGATCGCTGTCGGTTTTTTGCGCCAGAGTCAAAGGACTTCGCGAAGTACCTCGAAGTTACACGAAGTGTCTCACTACACTACTCGGCGTACGCCAGTTATGAATATCTTTTTTTCATATAAATATTAAATATGTAACTTTCTACATAATTATTTATTTAGTTAACGCATTGACGCCGTACTGTTCACACAATTAGGTACCTATAGCAGCTGCCTCTTGAACGTCATTCATGTTAACGGTGCGGGAGACTCAAGACGACTGAGCTCTTCGCGAAGCAGCACGAGTGTGTGGTCACGTTCTTCGGACTGCGATCGACTTCGACGAGCACTTCGTCGAAGTTTCTTCGCGAGTAGTGTAGAGGAAGCATAAACTTTTTACTAGAAACGAGGCATTCCATCTCAGTCCTCACGGGTGACAACGCATCTGCATTTTGATTCCTAATCGAAGATACCTGTAGATGTCTATAGGCCACAGCAACCACCTACCGTCACCATTATCCTATAAAAAAATAAAAAATATAGTACTTACAATTCACGAAGTCGAGCGGGCTTTACTCGTGATTGAACATGTACATACACATTGATATAGTGTGCGAGTCTGACGGAACGATTTGTTTCGAGCGTGCTGTCGCCATTTATCCGCTTGTGGTCTCGCGCACACTTTGACACGTATACAGATGTGTTTACCACAAATAAAGCCAGCTCGACTTCGTGAATTGCAAGAAATATTACTTGTATAAATGATGTATACTTTAAGTGGTAACTCCTCTTGTTTCATTTTTCCCCGAGAACGACATAAAGAGGCATTTAGGGACTTTTAACTTGAGTTTTATTTTTCTTTTCTTTTTTGTCTTTTTAGAATTAGACACACTGAATTTTCTCTTGTATCGTAGAGGCGTTGAACACACATAAATTGCGAAAAGGGAAAGATTTAGTTCTGAAACAATTATTTGTAAGCCATACAAACACTTGTTCCGTGTGGGATTGAAACCCACGGCCGTTCAGCGCCACATCTCAATGCTTGACCACTGTGCTACTGAGAAGTCATCAAATAGACAAAAATTCAGTTACTCTTGTCGTATATTTCTCGTTATGGATTTTATCACACAGAGAAACGCTCAAGAGTTATATATCATAGCTATTTCTATGTAGCTCGCCGTGTAAGTGAATCTCTTATTATGGTCGCTGAAAACATGTACCACTGGTTGTATGTTTTTCCTTAAGATATTCAGAGTTATAGCGGGCAAGATGTATCGTAGGTTTCCGATAGCTATAAGTAGCTAGTTGAAATTCTTTGTAGCAGTTAAGTTTATAACTACATAGGCTGCACTAAAAGTATCGGGAATAGAATCTTTCCACTGTTCCTGTCATATTAAAATCTTTTTAATTGAAAAGACCTTGGTTTTAAAAATCGAATACCATTTATTTATTTAAAAAAAGATTTTCGGTCTTGTCACAAGGTTTTGTCAAACTTGTTTAGTCGTTGAGAAAATGGAATTGACTCGAGAAAATTCAAGAGCGATGATTTATTATGACTTTCGAAGTCGTTTAACACAAAAACAGTGTGTTGACCGGATGATTTCTGCATTTGGTGATGAAGCCCCATCCAAAACCACAATTTATCGCTGGTTTGCTGAATTTCAACGTGGACGTGTCAAGCTCAGTGATGATCCCCGTCAAGGTCGGCCAAAAACTGCAGTCACCCAAGAAAACGTTGATGCTGTGCGTAAGCTGATTGAGGAAGATCGACATGTGACATACCGCGAAATTCAGGCAACTTTAGATATTGGCATGAGTCAAATACAAATAATCTTGCATGAACAATTAGGTGTAAAAAAGTTGTTTTCCCGATGGATACCGCATTCGCTCTGTGAAGAGCAAAACGCGGCTCGCGTTACTTGGTGCGTCAGAACTCTCAAATGCTGTATACAACATCGTATCAGGTGACGAATCCTGGATATACGCGTACGAACCCGAAACAAAAAACCAGTCACGAGTTTGGGTGTTCGAAAATGAGTTAAAGCCAACAAAAATTGTTCGTTCACGGAGTGTTGCAAAAGAAATGGTGGCCACGTTTGTCTCCAAAACCGGCCATGTTACGACTATTCCTCTTGAGGGACAAAGAACGGTTAATGCAGAATGGTATGCTAGCATTTGTTTGCCACAGGTCGTTTCTGAACTCCGTAAAGAGTACTGCAACCGCCGCATCATCCTCCATCACGACAATGCGAGTTCTCACACCGCACACAGAACAAAAGAGTTTTTAGAGCAAGAAAACATAGAATTATTAGATCATCCGCCGTACAGCCCCTACCTAAGCCCTAATGATTTCTATACTTCCCTAAAATAAAAAATAAATTGCGTGGACAGAGATTTTCATCACCTGAAGAAGCTGTGGACGCCTACAAAACGGCCATTTTGGATACCCCAACTTCCGAATGAAATGGTTGCTTCAATGATTGGTTCCATCGTATGGAAAAATGTGTCGAATTTCGCGGAGAATACTTCGAAAAGCAATAAATACATTTTTAAATAGTAATGTTGTGTAATTTCTTTGATTCCCGAAATTTTCAGTGCCGCCCTCGTATTAGCATTGGTGTGATATAGAAGTTAGACACGTGATCTTCCTCTTATCCATGTTAGTCGTTCGTCTCGAAACGCCGGGAGAAATTATTAGTCACTGAGGATAGCATTAAGATCTTCTAACCATTCGGAAATAATGTTTTTATCGTCGACAAATTGAATATATGAGATTTATTTTTATGTTGAGGTCTTATCCTAGCAAACTTGAAAATGTCTTCCAATGCTACAGTTAAGACTTTAGGGGATATAACATTACCCAGTGTTACACCTTCCTACAGTTAAATAGAATTCATACTCAGGTTTTGACCCCAGATTCTTATTGTACAAACACTCAGCACCTTAAAAGATTAAGAAACAAACATAATGTCATATTATATTCCTCAGTCTCTGGTATAAACTCTCAAAGAGGAGGTATGTGGTCTATGATACCTAGTTTTATGCCTGATTGTTGCACTATATTTTTATTTGTTTCATCTTAGTTTATTTTAAATTGAAAGATATATACATTATTTAAAAAAAAAACGGGCAACTTACTCTGCAATGATTTTCTTCTTCCTCTTTGGTGTCTCCAATATTTCAATTGGTTTTTTTGTAACAATCACAGGTCTCACTGAACCAAAGAAATCTGTTATAGGTACTTTGCTTGGATCACGCTTAAATAAATCTTTTCGAACTCCCACAGTGGATAAACATGCACTTTTTGGGCATACAGCTAACTGTAAGAAAAACAAATATTAAAATCTTTACATGTTAAGTTATGACCTCGGATTAACACAAGTTGACTAGTTGAGAATACTTTTGTGTTCCTTTTTTAACGTATATTTTTACAGGGTTAGACTTATTAAATAAATAAACTTTATGTCTACATCATCTCTGTATATAAAAATCAATTGATGACCGTTAGTCTCACTAAAACTCGAAAAAGTCCCTAACAAATTAATGAAATGTTTTGTGTACATTTTAGTGGGTCCTTGGATGGTTTAGATTCACAATTGGACCTGGCAGGTGACGCTGTTGTCGAGATCCAGAAATCATCCATGTGAATCTGGGTCCGATCACTAGTATTTTTTATAAAGTTGACTGTCTCATTGGGTTAGTGATTTTAAACGTGTCTGCTGTGGTGAGCTCATTGATGGAGGGAAAAATCAGTTATTGAGTTTTTTTGACAAAAAGTTTTCAGTAGTAGCCTGAAGTCAGAATAGTGTTGTCCTTTGCATAATCCCTCTTCAGTCATGTCAGATTGTTGCTTCGTCAGACTATGAGAGTGAGGGAGTAAAGAGTGCACCTGTGCTTGCACATATTATACTTTCGGGCACTATAATCCTGTTATGTGCATATAACAAGTCTCCATTAAGAGCGTAGTCGGTCCGCGCGGGAATTGAGAAATAGGTATTTGAAGAAATTATTTGCCATTGCGCTATATATTATAGTACCCCGTAGTGTGCGACAGGGACAACTGCAGCTCAGAACGATTATACCTACAAAAATCATGACCGATCGACGTTTCGTATTCCTTTGTTTTCTTCTCAAAAACTAAGCCGATTAAATTATTTTTGATATCAAAAATTAAAGGAAGAATAGATCTATGAATATCACTTGTCTTTATCTTAAAAACTTTCAATCTTCTTTGGTAGACGTCTGATTACGGAGGTAAAAATGGGAAATGTTTTTAGGTTTTTGGAGAGTCATATTTATTTTTGTCATAATTTTTTGGAAAAAACAAATGACAGGGGCATGCTTTCAATAGACCTAGATTTTTATAAACAAAAACGATTATTCAAGAGGCATTATTGAGGAAGAGGATAGGGGAATACATTTGTATGGAAAAACGCAGCCCGTCCACGCTTACTGAAATTCAGTCTGGTGGATATTATTATATAATGTCAGTGTCAAAAATTGATAAACAAAATTTAAATAATATATAATAAAACTACCTGTACCTGTGTTTTGTATGAAATTACCAAACAAATATCTCATACTTTTTATTTTTATTCAGTAACATTGTTTTGTTCTATTCAAATTAGCATGAATTTCACTTGTCTTTCATTAACACTTCTTCCAGCTACTTCAGCCCAATAGAAAGTTTCTTCAATAAGATCTAATGCAGCCTTTGAGACACTGAGACTAACAACAAAAGGAAATGAAGTTGATACTTACAAATTCTGACATGGTTTTTTTACTATTGGGCTGTACATTTTCCAAGAATTCCAGAACATAATATGTGTATCTATCAATGATGTAAACACCAATTGCCGAATCTACATGATGCTGGGGAAAAATAATTAACATAATTGTGTATTAATTTCTTCAATCTTAATTTTAGTTTAGAAATAATCGGTTATAAATATTTCTATTAAAAATATATTTATAGACTTACAGATAATGAATCTTCTCCTACTAAACTACTGGCAGTTGCCAGAATATTTGGTGAGTAAAACTTTTCATACATTGATGAAGCCTGACAAGTGTCTATAATGAAGAAAATTTCATTATATCTGTAAAAAGAAGGAACATATATCATATATAAAAAGAAAAAATATGTAAAAAGAAGAAATAAATGTAACAATCAATTTATTGTTTAACTTTTATTTATTTTGATAGAAAATATTTAACCTTCTTTTTTGCCACATTTGTTCAAGAGCATCAGCTAACTCTTGACTAGTAACTTCTTCGGAGTCCTGGAACTTAAGAAAACCATCACCACCATGACCAGTCAGATATATAAGTATGTTACTGCCTTCATCAGTGAGCAATCTCTTGGAGCGGGGAGTATCAGGATGAACACGCCCAGTTAAAAGCCTGACAAAGTTTTCCACTGAAACCTAGTAGACAAAATATAATTAATGATATTTTTTTACCCTGGATATGACATTAAGATTTAAGTTAATATAATCAATAAATGGAAGAAAAAGAAGTAGTAAATATTTTTTTTAATATATAAACTGACAAAAACCTTACTTCATAGCCCCTGTAATCCACCTCCACATCATCTCCATAAACACTTATCAGTTCATGGGCATTATTAAATATAGTAGCAGGACGTGGATTTCGCGGGTTGCAGGCCATATCATCTGAGATCATCAAGATAATCTGACTGTCCGGGATCCCGAGTCGTTTAACGCTCCGATAAATTGATAACACATTCGCTACGTGCCGGTAATTAAACCAAAACCGGGATGTGTCAACCAAAACGGCCCAATTATTGGTATGATTAGATTTTTGAAACTGCTCAGGTATCTAAAAAAGTTGTTTTTGATATAGAATTTTTGCAATATCCATTTAATAAATATTTGTTCTGAATGTGTGTTTACATCTATTCCTTCTGTAATAGAAATCAAAAGCGAGCACAATAAAATAATAAAATAAGATATTTTTGATTCCATTGTTAATGTTTGCAGTTTAGTTTACTTCGTTAACATTTCAATTAAAACAAATTAATAAATTAGTTTTCGTATAATAAATAAAAACAACTCTCACAGATATCAAGTGACAATGACAAGTCAAGATGACAACCCAGTTTTTTTTTTGGAGTTTATGGCCTGTTATCTAGATCTTTAGGCCAAGTCTTGATTATTTTTATTCGGTTTATTATAATTTCCCCACTGTATTTTTGATGAATTTATATAGAAGGACGTAATAGGATCTATTTTAAAACATATCACTCAAGTCACTAATATTACTGATAAGAATCAATCTGTCAAATGAAAAGCACTCACATGTAGATATGAAATATTCGATATCACCAACAGAATTATTGCAGAAGGTGCAGTAGCTGCTCTCCACTATGCCCAACCGAGCCAGGTGGAGTGACCAAAACGCAGTCTGTTTATAGTCGTAATAAAGCCCCGACTGGCCATTTTCAGTTTGTTATACCATGGTGCTACTGGTAAGTTTTCTTGAACATTTCCATACCATTTTTACCATTCTTTTTTTTCGTTTCGCTTGGTCGAACTGTTAACATCTACCCTGTCAATCCTCTTCATAAATATTGAATTTATACTAGTTTTTAAAATTTTAATTTTGTGATTAAGTAAACCAAGCGAAAACTAAACATAAATAGTCAATGCTAAATAGGTACCCACGATACAGGATTACATAGTGTGGGTACCAACGGATACTTCAATGAGTTGTAGTTGTTTTCTGTAAAATAAACATTTTTCATTTTTTTTTTCATTTTCATTTACCATTCTGTTCTTGGTCTTATTTCCAAAATTCGACCCATAAACTATTGATCTGGTTGTCAATAGATTGATAATAGTCGGTCAAAGGTACTATTACTATGGAGCTAACGTCCAACATGTTGGTTCAATCACGTGCAATTTTATCTACTATCTCATTTCCTGTTATACCCCTATGTGATGGAATCCACATGAAAGAGACCTGTATACTATTTTGTGCATAAATAAATAACAATTTTTTAATATTATACAAAATATAGTTTTTTTAAAGTCAAATCTGAGATAGGTTAAACTTTGGACCATACTTAAACTGTCTGTTAATTTTGAAAAAATATTAAAACTATTTATACATGCGATCATATTCAGGGCCTCAAGGGCCGCATATATCTCTGAATTGGGGATCATAAACAGCACTGCGCACAAAGAGCTCACTTTTGCTGTCATCTGTGTACAAAGTATAGTACTTATTGTCGGAAAGAAAACTTAATAATTCACAATTATTAAAAAAAATTTTAGTAATAATATTAGTATCAAATATAAGACAGGAATATGAGTATGAGTAGCATGTCCACTTTGATTGTTTAATTACATTTTTAAAATCTTCATTCATTTGCAGTACAATGAGAGGCAAAACTAAAACTTAACAAAAATAACCTCGTAAAAGCTCACCTTCCGAAGTCTGCTGGGCCAAGCATTGTACAGGAAAAGGTACTATTTTTTTGAGAAAATTATCATTACCAGATAACAGCTTTAGTAAATATCTCTCTATTAGCAAAAGTCTTCTAAGACACAGTGGCATTATTTTGGTTTCAACTTCCATAGCTCGTATGGGAGTTGAACCCTCATACGACCCCAGAAATAATTCGCAGAGCTTTGTTTTGAATTATGTCTAGTTTTTTTTACACAACTACTATTAGAGTAGGCTAAACAACTGTAGTCGAAGTGGCTTCTGATTATAGATTTATATAGCATACTTAAAACTTTTTGGTTTGCACCCCAAGTCACGCCAGCTAAACATCTTATAATATTTAAGCCCTTAAGAGAGTTATTTATAATGTGATTGATGTGTAAATCAAAACAAAGTTTGTTGTCAATGACAACACCCAAGAATTTATTGTTAGGTACAACTGAAATTGGATGATTATTGTAGAGTATGCCATTAGAGGGAAAATCTTTACGAAAAATCATGGCCTTGCTTTTGTTGGGGTTAATCTGTAGAACCAACTTGTCATTATAATATATGAACAATTGATCTAAAGCTTTATTTATACTATTTACAGCTCTATCTACATTATGGTCTGTACAATATATTACAAGATCATCCGCAAATTGTAAAATATTTACACCTTCTATATTTACAAAATTAAGAATTTGACTAGTATATATATTGTACAGCAATGGGGATAATGTATCCCCCTGCATTGTACCTTTGGAGACCCTTCTGGGACCATGGAGAGTATTATTATGCCTTATATACAAAGTTAAAATCTGTTAAAAATTAAATAACCAATGGCAATGTATGCCTGGTATACCAGTGTCAGAAAGAACTGGAACCAAAATACCAGGGTCAACATTATCAAACGCACCTTGAACATCCAGAAAAACACAAACACTAGACTTATTATTATTATTGGCATATTTCAGATCTGACAAGAGAGAGATGAAGCTGTCAGCATAGCTTCGCCCTCTCCGAAAGCCATATTGAACATGTGGAGTGATGTTGTTCACCTCTACATAATACTCAAGACGCATCTTTATCATATTTTCATTACGCTTTCCAACACAACATGACAATGATATGGGACGATATGAGTTAGGATCTTCAGGTGGCTTGTCAAGCTTAAGTAGAGGGATTACACACGGTGTTTTCCAAGAGCCAAAAGCATTAAGATTAGCTAATAGTTTCTTTTGCACGGACTGATTTAGGTTTTTGATCAAAATGTATGGACAATCATCTAAACCAAGGGTTGTTTTTGTCTGGATTGTAAACTTGTACAAAACTCACTCCAAGTAAAGGGTTCTATGAGGAAACTGGGCTTCTGAAGGCTATTATTAATTTCAAAATAACTTTCTAGATTATCAATAACCCTACATCCATTTTGAGATAATTTTTCTAAGAGAGGGACAGCAAATTCGTCTTTATATGTTCTATTATTGCATTTTATTCGTTTAAATAACTTGATGTATTTCCAAATAATACTAATAGGTGTAGTTCTGTTAAAAGTATTTTAGATGTTCGCCCAACCATTGCGTTTATGTTCTGAAATAGTCTTTTTCTTAACAGCATTAAGTTTTTTGTAATTAATGTAATTATCAATGGTTGGATCCCTTCTGTACAGTTTTAGAGCTTCATAAGTTTTAATAACACTCTGTTCACATGTGTCACTCCACCAAGGTGCTGGAGGTTTGCAACGATAGTTATTTGCTTTGACAAACTTTGGCACAGTATTCCTCTTAAGTGTATCAAGACTTTCGATAATGTTTCGTCTGATGAATGAATTCGTCATATGACTGTAATGGATTCTCATTATTAACTTTAAAATTAGAAAAAGCAGTTATAGACAGCTCGTTATATTTCGTCCAGTCTGTCTTATTGTATAAGAATTTTTCAATGGGAGGATTAATTTGGTATCTATCAACGGACAATAAAACACGAGTAAGCGTAGGAAAATGTTAGCTCCCCATACAATCATCATGCACCCACCATTCGCATAGTGGAGTGATTTGAGCACTACAAAAGCTGCCATCAATAGCCGATGGATTTCGGTTAGGATAATTGATAGTAGTGAAGCTACCATTGTTAAGAACACATAGATCAAATTTATCAATTAGATCGTATAACTGATGACCCCGACTTTTCGTGATCATACAGCCAAATGCGACATGGTGAGCGTTGAAATCTCCAGCCACATATATTGGCTTAGGCAAATCTCTAATTATATCACGCAGTTTACTTATTCTGAAGTTACCATTCAAGGGAGGGCAGTATACACATAAAATCGTTAATTGTTTACCACTTACATATAACGATAATGCCACAGTCTGAATGTCTTGGTAAAATCTGGTTTGAATAATATTATTTAAAATACGGTTTGATCAAAATTGCTACTCCACCGTGCTCATTTTGGGCGTTATGATAGTGGGAATTATATCCCGAAATTTTAAAATGCTGAGTATCTTTCAGCCAAGTTTCATTGAGTAGCCAGATATCAACATTTTGCTCATCTAAAAATTTAGACAATAAGGGTTTTTTCCTATGTATACTTTGAATATTGTACTGAGCTATACATAACTGCTGTATGTTCTGTACTGTACTGTCCATTAATGTGACAGATTTTTAAAAGTAAGTCTTTAATGAACAGTGTAGTCACCGGTTCATTATCTGTTTTATTACCCAATCCAACTAAAGTTTGGACCATTGCCATCAAAATATTCTTATTGTTTGCAATTTGATCCTCAAGTTGAGTTTTGTTCAAGTTGGGTACAGGCACTGTTTTATTTACATTATTTACAATTTTTACATTTTAATTTAATTTATGTACAATTTGGCTTATTGATGGTAGGGTCTTAACAATGCTGCTCGACTGTGTACGTAAAGACGGAAAATCAGATGACGTAATTGTATTAGCCACAGAGGCATAAGTGATGCTACCCTTTTTTTCAAGTATTTTTTTTCATTTTTATTAGGCAAGATTTGGAAATGGCCAGGTGAGTGCCACTGCAATTGACACAACACAGGTTCTCTTTTTATTGCAGTCTCTGAAATTATGCTCCCCAGCAAATATCGAGCAACGTTGTTTACCATTACAAATTTTTGCAGGGTGGTTGAACTTGAAGCACATTGCTGCAACGGCGCGACATATTCAAACACCCTGAACGAAAATAGGTGATATTGGACAGAACATTTAATAAGAAAGTTATACTGACAGTCTCGAGACCTACAGTACTTTGACCGACGTTTTTCGTGAATCTTCTCACTGAAAAAATTTCATAGATCAAAGACAGTTTTGTATATAAATCCTTGTTCGAAATGTTGGCAGGCAAAATCGGATGATTCCAGTTTTTTCTATCTGCGCTGCAGGAATATGCGCCTTCAAGTTGTGCTTTGTTAAGAAGTCTGTATTTGTGATGAATTTATTTGCAGTGTTGTATTGTTTAAAAACAACCGCAATTTTGTTGGCATTAACTCTATGTAAAGCTACCAC